GCAAGACAAACATTGATGTTGACCGAATTGCTGCTGGATTACCTTGTGGTAGTGAAGGATTCCTTTTGATGTTTGCTCGCTGGAGAAAGCTCGAGAGGGACCTCTATAATGAAAGAAAAGAGTAAGTATATGGCCATACCGAACTTGTCAATGTCTTCCATATTTTCATCCTATTTTCTGTATGAGGTTTCTGGAACCCTGGATTTCTTAGAGAGCCTAATGATTGATTTAAATGCAGCCGATTTGACATAACACAGATTCCAGATGTTTATGATTCATGCAAGTAAGTATTGTATATTGCGGTCTCTGTCGATTCATTTGGAGATGCTCCTTTTATCCTCCACTGTTTTGTCCTAGCTCTAATATCTCCTGTTTGTGTATTCTTCACACTTGTTTTTGTCACCAGGTATGACCTGTTGCATAATTCTCATCTCAACCTAAATGGATTGTATGAACTGTTCAACGTTGTGCAGGTATGCAGAAAACTTATTTTCCTCTTTAGCTCTCTTGGGAAGTTCAAAACAACCTGTTCAATGGTTGATAAAGAACTCCCACTTATCTGCTGTCCTTTTTTAGTGACGAGGATGTCTTATATCTTTCGTGATTGAAACTATGCCTTTAATTTCAGAACCTGATCATCTAGAGTCTCTAAGTAAAGTTGCAGAATGGAGAGTGATACATCTCCTTTTTGCAAGTCTATCATCGTACACTGTGACTGTGTTGCTTATAATTATAACAGTTCATGTGTTGTGTGATTGCAGTTGCTTGCAGACGGTGTAATTCCAAACGAGTATGGGATCAATCCACAACAAAAGCTGAAAATCGGTTCCAAGGTGGGGGTTCCTTGCGTGTGACATTCCTGAATAGCATCTGCATATCCATTATCCTCTTCTGGAATATATCTGCAGGGTTATCTGTTTTCAAAGGCTCTCGTGGCTTAACTTCTTTTGTTTGTTGTAAAAAAAAATTAAAAGATTGCAAGGCGCTTGCTGGGGAAAATCTTGATAGACTTGAGGAACACACGAGAAGAGGCCATGAGTGTTGCTGAGTTGAAAAGCCGCCAAGATGAAATATCTGTGTCGTTGACCAGAAAGGAAGGGAGAAGCAGTCAACCAAAGCTTTTCATCAATAGCGAGGAATTGAGACGGCCTGGCACTGGTGATCAAGATGAAGACGATGATAAAGAGACCAAATACCGTTTAGATCCAAAGTAACAACAAACAAACGCTTTCCCACCTTATATTTTTCACGTCTTCAATGTTTACCTCTCTGCTTGCCCCTTTTTAGGTACGCGAATGTCAAGACACCCGAACGTCATGTGAGGACACGTCTCTACTTCACATCCGTAAGTGTACCCTTTTGGTTCCCTTCATTCCCTGTCCTCTCATCACTGTGTTCTACTATGTGTACATCACCACCTGCGCTTCCCCTTATCTGTATATGTAAATAGCTTTTTTTTTTTAAAAAAAAATGGGATTGACAGGAATCCCATATTCATTCACTCATGAACGTACTCCGCTACTGTAATCTGGACGAATCACTCCAAGGAGAAGAAAGCCTTGTGTGCAAAAACGCATTGGAGCGTCTGTGTAAAACCAAGGAGCTTGATTACATGAGCTACATCGTCCTTAGGATGTTCGAGAACACCGAGGTGCCTCTTGATGACCCTAAGCGTTTCCGCATTGAACTAACATTTAGCCGAGGCGCTGATTTGTCTCCCTTGGAGGTATAAACCAATTCCCTTTTTTATATCATACACTCTGTTACATGTTTTGAAAAATAAAACAGAAAGAGGAGAGAGTAATGTATGTATGTGGTGGTATGATTTGGAACAGAAGAACGATGGGGAGGCGGAGTCGTTGCTGAGGGAGCACACCCTCCCCATAAACGGGCCGGAGAGGTTACAGGAGGTAGGGTCGTGTCTGACGCTGGAGAAAATGGAGAAGATGATACGTCCGTTTGCAATGCCGGCTGAGGACTTCCCTCCGGCATCTACTCCAGCCGGATTCTCCGGCTACTTCTCCAAAAGCGCCGCTGTGCTCGAACGTCTCGTCAACCTCTGGCCTTTCCACAAGACCTCCGCTTCTAATGGAAAGAGCTGATCCAATCAAAGAGAGTCTCTCTCTCTTTCTCTGTTTGGTAAAATTTTGGGATTTTTTTTAACAATTTTCTTTCATGAATTTAGGCAAGTTAGATTTTAAAGCTTTCATGCGGTGGATTTATCGTTTGCTCGTTGATGCAATCCGGAACTCGTCAAAGAAATTCGTTTATGGGTTCTGCTGTCATTATTTGTCTCGCAAAATTGGACTCCTTTGAATATTTTGGTATCTTTTCTTTTTTTATTGGAACCACCGGAATCCTTTTTGTGACTGTTGCGGTAGGGTTCATTTATAAAAGGAAGAACATAACCAAGTCATCCTTTGACATATTCAATTTCTTAATAAACGGCCAAATGGGTGATTTTAACTTGTCACGAAACGTATTTTTCTCCACTCCTATTATATCCCACCAGCGGAAAAAAAAAAAAGAGCTTGCGGGTTTCTCAAACCGTAATTTTATGCATCTATTTTTATGAGATAAAGAGTAACATGACATTGTTGCAGAGTCATTTTCATTTTTTTTGACAGCATCCAAATTTCTTTTTTTATTTATAAAGAAAGGGAGACCGTTTTGGATTAGTATCTGGATAAATATTTGGGAAATTATTAAAAAAAACTGGGTTGTTGTCTTTTTTATGAATCTTTTTAACCGATTTGTTTAGATTCACCGAAATTAAATGGAAATAAAAAAGATGAAATATAGAGGTTGGTTCTGTCCGGAACAGAGATAAACTCCCGATTGGTTCGGACGATCGGGTCGAGATTTGTTCATGCTAGAGTGACAATCACTCGGTAGAAATATATCAGTAACTATTATTACTTATTTAAATATATCAATAAACTATTATTACTTATTTAATTAATACTCGGTGAGTAATTTAGATATTTTTGGGTGTGAATATGCTCCTCTGCAGCAATGTCATGTTTTGGATTAGTGTTTGGATAAATATTTAGGAAATTATTAAAAAAACTGGGTTGTTGTCTTTTTTATGAATATTTTTAACCGATTTGTTTAGTTTCACCGAAATTAAATGGAAATAAAAAAGATGAAATATAGAGGTTGGTTTTGTCCGGATAAGAGATAAACTCCCGATTGGTCGGACGATCGGATAGAGAGTTGTTCATGCTAGAGCGACAATCACTCGTAGAAATATATCAGTAACTATTATTACTTATTTAAATATATCAATAAACTATTATTATTTATTTAATTAATATTCGATGAGTAATTTAGATATTTTTGGGTGTGAATATGCTCCTCTGCAACAATGTCATGTTTTGGATTAGTGTCTGGATAAATATTTGGGAAATTATTAAAAAAAATTGGGTTGTTGTCTTTTTTATGAATCTTTTTAACCGATTTGTTTAGATTCACCGAAATTAAATGGAAATAAAAAAGATGAAATATAGAGGTTGGTTCTGTCCGGATCAGAGATAAACTCCCGATTGGTTCGGACGATCGGATAGAGAGTTGTTCATGCTAGAGCGACAATCACTCGTAGAAATATATCAGTAACTATTATTACTTATTTAAATATATCAATAAACTATTATTATTTATTTAATTAATATTCGATGAATAATTTAGATATTTTTGGGTGTGAATATGCTCATCTGCAACAATGTCATGTTTTGGATTAGTGTCTCGATAAATATTTGGGAAATTATTAAAAAAACTGGGTTGTTGTCTTTTTTATGAATCTTTTTAACCGATTTGTTTAGATTCACCGAAATTAAATGGAAATAAAAAAGATGAAATATAGAGGTTGGTTCTGTCCGGAACAGAGATAAACTCCCGATTGGTTTGGACGATCGGGTCGAGATCTGTTCATGCTAGAGTGACAATCATTCGGTAGAAATATATCAGTAACTATTATTACTTATTTAAATATATCAATAAACTATTATTACTTATTTAATTAATACTCGGTGAGTAATTTAGATATTTTTGGATGTGAATATGCTCGTCTGCAGCAATGTCATGTTTTGGATTAGTGTTTGGATAAATATTTGGGAAATTATTAAAAAAAACTGGGTTGTTGTCTTTTTTATGAATCTTTTTAACCGATTTGTTTAGTTTCACCGAAATTAAATGGAAATAAAAAAGATGAAATATAGAGGTTGGTTATGTCCGGATCAGAGATAAACTCCCGATTGGTTCGGACGATCGGGTCGAGATTTGTTCATGCTAGAGTGACAATCACTCGGTAGAAATATATCAGTAACTATTATTACTTATTTAAATATATCAATAAACTATTATTACTTATTTAATTAATACTCGGTGAGTAATTTAGATATTTTTGGGTGTGAATATGCTCCTCTGCAACAATGTCATGTTTTGGATTAGTGTCTGGATAAATATTTGGGAAATTAGGTTCGGACGATCGGATAGAGAGTTGTCATGCTAAAAGCGACAATCACTCGTAGAAATATATCAGTAACTATTATTACTTATTTAAATATATCAATAAACTATTATTATTTATTTAATTAATATTCGATGAGTAATTTAGATATTTTTGGGTGTAAATATGCTCCTCTGCAACAATGTCATGTTTTGGATTAGTGTCTGGATAAATATTTGGAAAATTATTAAAAAAAATTGGGTTGTTGTCTTTTTTATGAATCTTTTTAACCGATTTGTTTAGATTCACCGAAATTAAATGGAAATAAAAAGAATGAAATATAGAGGTTGGTTCTGTTCGGATCAGAGATAAACTCCCGATTGATTCAGACGATCGGATAGAGAGTTGTTCATACTAGAACGACAATTACGGATAGAAATATATCAGTAACTATTATTACTTATTTAAATATATCAATAAATTATTATTACTTATTTAATTAATAGTCGGTGAGTAATCTAGGTGTGAATATGCTCCTCTGTTCCACGCTGCCCATTTTGCCCGTCATTCGACAACGCTTGCCCTTTCTGTATCTCTCCCTTCCTCCCTCCCTCCCTGTCCTCTGCGCATCTCTCTATCTCTACAGACAACAATTCCCTTTTTGACTAAAAATTCTACGACTGGCATTTCCAGTGAATCTCAGACCTGATTTCGAGGGTTTTCCTCGGTTGGGTTGGGTTCGTTGTGTTTTACCTGGGTTGGGGGGGGGTCTCCAGGGTACGGTTTTCTGATCAGGAATCGTAGTGTTCTGTACATCCCTCCCTTTCTCTGGTTGGTGGTTTTGGGAGATGGGTTCGGAAGATAACGGTACTATTCAAGTGGCAGATAGTTGGCGATCGGAGAAGTCAGATGAGGATAAGAAGAAGACGAAGAATGGTAATAGCAATGGGGCCGAAGAGGAAGAAGCAAGTGGATGTTGGGTCAAATTTAGGTTTATGATTGGTTGCTTACCTTCAAGACCAGATGTTGATGGTTCCTTGAGTGGTACTACTGGCACTGGTATAGTGAGTTTTCCCTTCACTTCCCCCTTTTTATTACTTTCTGGGGTTTTTCCGTGATCCATATTAGTTCGTAAAGCCGAGGTCGAAAAACCTCTTGTGTACCGAAGTATTTCGCTTGTTGAGTAATAGTTTTACACTGAAATTGTATTTGATGATTGCTGTGGTTTCTATAATTGTCATCGGACATATATTTCTGTGTAGGGATTAATGTCTCAGAATCCCTGTCTAGGGTTTTCTGTTTGGTAGCATGAGCGAAACTCGTGTAATAGTTGTGGTTTGGTTTCAAAGTTAGAATCTGTATCTGGAGTTTTCCATTTGTGATGTCAAAGGGTCTCTCTTCACTCTTTGCTTGAAGTTTTGCTGGGGATCATGTGATGTGGGATTTCCCTATAGAATGAATAGTGGGCATCAACAAAAAGCAGTAGTAGGGAAAACATTCTATTATTATTGTAATGACAGTTGTTTGTTCTTTTGGTTTTTCCTTTATTACAACGCAGTGGAAAGTACGTCAGCCAATGAGAAATCAAGTGATCAACCGATTTTCCCAGTTACCTCTTCGTCAGCCAACGCAGAAAGCTCATCATCGACTCCTATGATCAGTGAAGAACTGAAGGTTTCTTCTCACCTCAGGAAGTTTACATTCAACGATCTTAAGCTGGCAACTAGAAATTTCAGACCAGAAAGTCTTCTTGGCGAGGGTGGTTTTGGTTGTGTCTTTAAAGGGTGGATTGAGGAGAATGGCACTGCTCCTGTTAAGCCTGGTACTGGGCTTACTGTTGCTGTCAAAACCCTAAATCCTGATGGACTTCAGGGTCACAAAGAATGGCTTGTAAGGCCCTTTGGCTTATTTTCCTTCCATTTCTTTTTTCGATTGTGTCACATCAGCACATGCTTCACTTTGGGTTCCTTCAAACGATGTGCTTGTAATCCTCTTTTGTGCATTGCATTGCAGGCTGAGATCAATTTTCTCGGTAACCTTGTTCATCCTAATCTTGTGAAACTGATTGGTTATTGCATCGAAGATGATCAAAGGCTGCTGGTATATGAGTTTATGCCTCGAGGAAGTTTGGAGAACCACCTTTTCAGAAGTATGTAAATCATTACCTTCTTACCGTGATTATGCCTTAACAGTTAAGCCCTTGGGGAAAACGTCATTAGACCCGAGTTGTGGTGTCTTAACAATTCTTGCCGATTCCCTATTGCTCCGGGCAATTCACATTGTCTTTTGTAATAAATCAACTGGTGCTATGAGTTTAGTGGTCAAGGCTACAACTAGTCTGTACTGTTAAAGTTGCAGCTTTGCACTCTAAACTAACTCATGCCACCAGTTGGCATATTACAAAAAACAAAGTGAATTTCAAGATTATTTATTATCTGATTTGGCAGGAAATATCAGGGTTTAGGGTTTTTGAGGTATTCATTGGCTCAATCCTCAGTGATTGTTTTTCTGTTTATGGCCTTCATGATTATGAGAGCTGGTAGCAAGTCTTAGATGATTTCAGTGCTTAACTTTATAGACACACATGTTCAATAAGGAAAATCTCGCGTCCATAGCTCTGGTTTTTGGGTTACTTGTATGTTAACAGAACTACCAGTATGCTACTAATGCCCTATTAATATGTTAAAGGGCATGATGTAAGTGGCCTCCCTCCTCTGCCATCGTGATGTACTTTCATATCTATTTATTAATGCCCATGCTCTTTTTAAAGGGTCTTTACCTCTTCCATGGTCTATCCGGATGAAGATTGCGCTAGGTGCTGCAAAGGGTCTCAGTTTCCTCCACGAAGAAGCCCTGAAGCCCGTTATCTATCGAGATTTCAAAACCTCAAACATCTTACTGGATGCAGTAAGTAGCTTGTAGATATACAGTCAAAATCCATATTTTCCTTTTTCGTGCTTCTGATTTCTTTTTATAAAAAAAATCCGTTCACAGGACTACAATGCAAAACTATCAGATTTTGGGCTTGCGAAAGATGCTCCAGATGAAGGCAAAACCCACGTCTCTACTCGAGTCATGGGCACATATGGCTATGCCGCCCCTGAGTATGTAATGACGGGTGAGCCGTGTTTCGAATTGCTTTTTCATAATCTAGACAGTAACACTCCATGATCTCATGCATTTGTACGGATTTCTAATGTTTTTTTATGACATTGCTCAGTTTGAAATACATTTAACCTTGCATCTTTCCTGGTATAATGCGACCATTCTCCTCCTCAGGTCACTTGACATCCAAGAGTGATGTTTACAGTTTCGGTGTGGTTCTGCTCGAAATGCTGACCGGTAGACGATCGATGGACAAAAACCGGCCAAATGGTGAACACAACCTGGTGGAATGGGCAAGACCACATCTCCTCGACAGAAGGAGGTTCTACAGGTTACTAGACCCGAGGCTCGATGGCCATTTCTCCATCAAAGGTGCCCAGAAGGCGACCCAACTCGCAGCACAATGTCTAAGCCGTGACCCTAAGGTAAGGCCGAAGATGAGCCAAGTGGTGGAAGCCCTCAAACCCCTTTGGCTTCTGAAAGACATGGCCAGTTCCTCCTACCACTTCCAGATGATGCAGGCCGACCGTCTGAGAAACGGGTCAGGTCGTGGCTTAGGGCGGACTCTGTCTAGCCCTCACGGTCCACATGGTTCTTCTCCATATCGCCATCAGCTTCCATCCCCTAAGCCTAAAGGGGCAACCGCATAGCATATATTTTTAGCCCCTTCATCTAATTTCTTGAATCCGGTAAGAAATTGTCGGTAGATAGTTTTTTTGTTTTTTTTTAAAGATGCTTGTCCGCTTGCATGTGGAATGTGCTTATTTGATTTTCAAATGGCTCGCCTTCCGGAAATCGGTATAAGAAGTGAAAAAGGAGGAATATAAAGAAGTGAAAAAGGAGGAATAGAACTGATGTTTTGAATGGAGATGGCTTTTATTTTGGGTTTTTGGTTTTAGTTTTTGGATTTTGGTTTTTAGTTTTTGGTTTTTGACTTTTGGATTTTATAATATTTGAAAACTCAGAAAAAGTAGCTTTTGGTTTTTCATTGATTTTTTCACTAAAATGATTTTCCAAGTTTTTAGGAAAAGTAATTTTGTAAAAACTTGAATGTTGTTTTTTTTTGTTTTTGAATTCTAAAAACTCCAAAAACTCCTACCAGGCCGGAATGTTTCTTTGAAAGAGTAAATTTACTTTTATGGCCTCGTGTTCCCTTCCACTTCTTATTTTTCCTACTATTATGTTCATTAATCATTATTCATTAGGGATAATTAAGTCACTAAATAAGTTGGCATTTTAAGTTTTTTTTTTCAGGAAACTATAGTTGAGCCTCTTCGGTGATGAGCCCATATACTTTATTGGGCCCAAATTAAAAGGCCCATTAGTCAAAATAGGCCTCCACCGCCTTATAGTCCACTCTATATTATCCTAAAACGGTTCCTTGCAAATTCAAATATTTATGCTCCCTCCGGATCGTCAACTGTTCAGAGATCATCGTTGTGACGGAGTAGAACCCACTCAAGGAGATCGAAATGGAGCCCATCTTCTGCCGATCGAGCACTCTCGATCTTACGCCTTCACATTTCCGTTTTGAGGTGTTTCTTGTCTCCCCCTCTCTTTGATTTCGTTAATTTCTAGGTTTTCTTCGGTTGAATTTCGAAGCTGTCTGAAATCTTGGTTGTTTGATTCGGTTTCTTCGTTTTTTCGTACTATTTCGGGAAAATCTTGCGTTGATTTTCTCTCTGTAAAGCCTGTCGTGTTTTCTGAAGAACCTAAGCTTCTCATTCTAACTTTTGATACGGATGCAGCCTTCCTTGCCTTTACTAATACCATCAAGTTGTATCATTCTGTAAATGTAAAGTATCGGCATATACTTGATCCTGGATCGGAGGCTTGAGCGGCAGGTATGTCTTCCACCTTTAAAGAAAGCATAGTTCCCTCTGAAGATGATGTGTACTTAAGAGTAACTCTTGGGATTTATTCTTGTTTTTCACGTCGTTGCTATAAGTTGAATCTGCCTGTGGTATGTGGATTTTATTGATATATAATATAGACAATAACTTACAACAATTGTTGTTGTAACTTGGGGTAAATCTCTGAATTTCCATGCGTTGTCAAGATACATAGATGGTAGCTTTAATTTGAAAGCTCAAGCCGCTGGTTCATCTATCTCAAACGTCAAATGGCAATGAGGAGTCTGACCTACAATGAGCCCCGGGCATTGATTTTCCTCGATGCGGATACCAATGGAGAGGATGAAGAAACAAAGACGTGCGAAACAAAGACATACAAAAGTTTCTTGGCAGGTGAGGTATTGACTGATTTTATTCCTCATATAGACCTGGATGGTGATTTACCTTTGTCAGTGAAAATCTCTGGCTAAACAGGAGAAATGCTTAGAACTACTTTATAGGCGATTGAGTAGCCACATCTCTTCGATGCTGCCGTTTTAGCTTAACCATGAAATAAGCAAATGCCATCACAGTTATGGTGATCCGGACTAGATTGTATGTCGCAAACGGTTGTCTATGGATTTGCAAGGGTGACCTGCGATAACGAGTGAACCAACCAACCCTAAAATGTTACAAAAAAATATTTTTCAAGTTATATACCCTAGCTCGGCAGGTGGAGTCATGAAAGAATCGTTACGTAAGGTACAGCATTTTTTACATGGAACTTAGGTGCCCATTTATTTAACTGTTTATTTTAAGATTATCGCAATTACTCATGGTATATCCCTCTGATTTAGTTGTTTGTGTGGCTAATTTATATGTCTTGAAACGAAATGTTTTAATTTAGGTTGGGAATCGATCAAGTGAATTTCATCCGGAGGTCAGAAGAGTAAAGAGAGAGGGTTCTAATATATATGAGGAATTTATGCCCACTGGAGGGGCTGATGTTAAGGTGATGAATATATTTCTATCAACATATTTCAGGAAAAGCTCATTTAATTTTTTTCGTTCTAGTCACTTGATTTTGTGAGAATTGCTATGCTTGTAGTTAGATTCTTGTTGATATCAAGTGTTCTGAATTTCAGCAAACGTTCATTGATCTAGCATCTATTGTTGGTTGTTTTATCCTGGAGATTATTTTGGGCCATTTAGCTCGGCTTTCACCGCTTCTTGACTGACAACCAAGCTAGTTATACTGTTGGTCCTGAATATGCACGACCTGAAGTGAGGGAGTCCCCTGTTGTGGATGGTGTCGTTATGAAGAATCCAGATGGGTAGGAAGTAAGCTTGCCAATTGATACCATAAGATTTTGAATGTCAAACCTTGCTTTCCGTATCTGCAGCCAAGAAGGAACAATTATTTGAGTAGAGGACCCATGGTTTGGAAGCTCTTCATTTGTAACAAGAGGACACATAGGCCTTTATTAGCTTATGAAGAACCTATGAAGCAAAAATAGGCTAGCTCTTATTTGATGGATTTTTGAAGTATCAGCATTCAGGTTCTGATTAGTTTTTGTTATCGCCTTCAACAGGTTAGGTATCCAGTTTTGCTAACACCTGCGGAGAAGCAAATGGCGAGGGAAGTTTGCATTGCTTTTAGGCAAACGGTATGCTGTGGATCCAATTCTTTTGCTGTCATTGTGTCTTACGGTCCTATTCCCTTCCTTATTACTGCATACATGTGGCTACTCATTTCCTTCCTTAAAGGCGAATGAGTAGCCACATGTCTTCGATGCTGCCTTTTTAGCTTGACCATGAAATCAGCAAATGCCATCACAGTTATGGTGATCCTGAACTGGATTGTATGTCACAAACGGTTATGGATGCAAGGGCGACCTGTGATAACGAGTGAACCAACCCTATAATGTTACAAAAAAAATATTTTTCAAGTTATACCCTAGCACGGTTGGTGGAGTCATAAAAGAATTGTTTCGTAAGGTACAGCATTTTTTACATGGAACTTAGGTGCCCATATATTGAACAGTTTATTTTAAGATTATCACAATTACTTGTGGTATATTCCTCTGATTTAGTTGTTTGTGTGAAATATGATGCATCCAGTAGCCTTCTGAAAATAGTTGTTAAATGTGTTTTGTAGAATGTAGGACTGATGCTGGCCTCTGTTTCGTTATTTTCTTTCGTAATCGAATCTGTGGTAATGGTTTGATTCCCAATGTGCTAGCTCTGTGAAGGAGGAACTGATTACTTAGCGTGCTTGTAGTTACTGTAAATATTTGTATATGGTTTTGTTTGGCATTATGTTTCGTTCTAAGTTCTAACTTGGATGGCAAGCTGGCTGTATGCTCTCAAGTGCTGTAGGTGGATATGTCTGATAAAAAGAAAGAGGAAAAGATAGCATGGAACTGTTTGATTTCATGCATAAAAAAATGTTCGTTTCTTCATTGTTTCCATTTTTGCAGGTCTGTAGGTTTGATCTCCTGCGCTCAGAGGGTCGTTCCCATGCTTGTGATGTAAATGGATGGAGTTTTGTGAAGAACTCTTACAAGTGAGATAGCATTTTGGGCTTCTATTTTCTTTTCTTGTTATTCATGTGCTCTTGCTAGATATTGGTGAGGCAAGAAGCAACATAACTGGTTTAGCTTGTAGAACAGCATAGAATCCTAGAGATCTTAAGCAACCCACTTCTTGTCGACTCAAATGCACATTTTGGCTATAACTACATTATAGGATCCTACGATCTTAGATAACTTTTCTTGTCAACTCAAATGTACATTGTGGCTATACCTACCAAGGGGAGGAAAGTCATTAGCCGACCTGTGCCCCAGCCCACATAGATGACTCTAGGATGACATTGAAAGCTCATTGTTGCTCTCTCTCTCTCTCTCTCTCTCTCTCTCTCTCTCTCTCTCTCTCCATTGTAGTGGAAAGGCTGAGATGAATTCAAATGTGTGTTGCTTTCCTGCTTTTGTCACTCTCGATCTGTATTTTTTTCGACATTATATCTAAAGTACTTATTAAATCTCTTCCACTGTAACTGTAGTGTAAGGTATTATCATGATGCTGCCTGTGTGCTGAGGAAAATGTTTTTGGATGCAAAGGCTCCTCATCTTTCTTTGACAATTCCTCCTATCTTGCCATGGAAGGTCAACGAACCTGTCCAATCTAATGAAGGACTAACTCGCCAAAGGAGTGGCATTATTGGCGCCTCTGGGCAATTGGAGGAGCTACGTTTGCGTCGTTGCTATTTAGAATTTTGCTTTTTCATGCAAGTTACATCTCACGTTGTAGATGTTTTTATTTTTAGGGTGGGGCATTTCTCTTGCATATACAGAAATGTTCAATTCAAGCCGTTGCCGTGGGTTAAAGTACCAAAAAGTGAGAGTGAAGGCGAAGAAGAACAGCCGGTGGAGGAACTTATGGCTCTGAAATATGGGGGAGTTCTTACACATGCTGGTAGAATACAGGTATTACTGTCATCCAGTATCTAAAAATGATGTCAAATGTATTGTCATAATCTAACGATGTACTGCCGAGGGGGAGGCGTCTTATGCTAGGCTTTCTTGCCCCAGTACAGGTTGTTGATAAATTCTTGTCTTTTTGTCTTTGATACGTTCCACATCTTTTTCTGCAGGTAGATATTTCCAGAACAAATATGTATCCAGGTGACCATCTTATCCGCATTTACATGTTCAATCATTTTTATGTTCTGCTTTCCGCCAGTTCTATTCAGCAGTTGTGATGATCAATGTCTGCTTGAGTGGTTTGAGATGGAACGGTACCATTTTTCCCTCGGAGGTGAAGGCACTGGCTTGCTTCGTCTCCATAGTACATACCGTCACGACCTTAAAAATTTACAGCTCCGATGAGGGACGTGTTCAGGTACAACTTCATGCGTTTTAAGTTGTGAAGATGGAAACATAATATGGATTTTTGCTTTAATGTTCTCTATTTCTTTGGCCAAAACATGTGATAGAGCTTCCGGGAAAAAAATATGAAAGGGTTTGGCATTGTTGACGTAGAAGCACAGCTGGTTTGCCTCTCTTTTTTTACCGAGCTCTTGTATTGCTTTACCATACAATATGATCATTAATGTTTGAATCATCTTTCTCTAGGTTTCTCTGGTTAACAGAATAATGCCAGCAGAGAAATGGAAGAGGCCAAGGTTTGTCCTCCTTTTGACTAGTTATTTTGATCTAATTGCACGTTTTGGTACCAACAATTTTGACCTCTGGAACCTTCTAGATATTTTTGCATTTAGATTTTCTATGATTGGCAAACACTGCTTTCTCAAAAAACTCTTTCAAATACACGTGGTGCTCGATTTACAGAGCCTTCTGGAAATGGGTATATTAAGGAATGGGCCTTCTGGACTTTTGTATGTGCAGAAAAGGGAAGAAATGAACGTGTAGCATGAAGCTGATTAAATTGTTTTGTTTGGACAAACTCGTTTATCCTTACAAAACCGAAAAGGAGGTAATGGTAATGATATCGCCTTATCAGCCTTATTCTCTCACTTTTGGCCTGGACGCTGATGAGAAAAGACTCGCCTTATCAGCCTGAATATGCATCCTTGAAAAAGCATCTGCAGGGATCTCAGGACAAGAAGAGCATGATTTCACATCAGAAATCAATGCTCAGAAGAGAAGAGCAGAAAAACAAATGTAAGAACCGTCAGAAAAAATCTATAGGAGTCCCAGAGCATATATTGTATGATGAAATGTATGTTGTGTAATAATCTCTGCCCTTGCAGGAACAAAAGAGAGGAATATCTACAAACCGATGAAGGTAAGTAATAATATCTGCATATATTACTATTTTACTCTAATTGAGAGTATATTTTAATGCATAACATCAAGCATCTATCCTCTTATTTATATTATCAAGCATCTCATTATTGTTGGTTATTGTGTTGTGCATGCATCGTCGTTGGCATCTCTTTCGTGTCGTCAAACAAACTTAACGCCGTCAAACTGGTTCCCTAAAAAATCAGGTGAAAATAAGTTAGAACGTCAAGTAAAAGAATTCAGCTGAGCCATAACCGATGCACAAGGCCTGAACGTGGGATGATATCACATATATGTATATATAGGAAAATTATATTTTTTTACATGAATTTAAAAAATGTGATTCTTTTATACACTTATTTTTAATTTGATAAAAATAAATTTGACTACAAATTTTTTAAATTTTTTACACGAATGGTTGAAATTAATATTAATTATATATATAATCATCATGTTCGTTAAAATTTTTCGAATTCTACTAACTAGCACAATGACAATATAGTAGTTATACTAATTATCTAATTAATGCATTAGTTAATAGAATCCAAAAAATTTAACAAAAATAATTATTATATATATAATTACTGTTAATTTTAATAATTTATGTAAACATTTAAAAAAATTTGAATTTAATTATAGATTTTTATCAAATTAATGTATTATATCAAAAATACCCATAATTTGTTATTTCTACTTCAAGACCTACCTTTGTGATCGAAATATAGTATGATCACATTTTGATTTTATCGATTATAACGTTAAATTTATGGTGATCACACTAATTCATTATGTTCATACCTTGTATATCTTACTAATCATTTGATTAAAACATCATAAATTTAACGTTATGAACAATGTGATCAATATGTGACCATACTATATTTCGGTCACATTGATCACAAGTAGAAATATCAAATTAAAAGTATTTTTGATAATACCCCAATTAAAAATATATATGTATGAAAAAATCACATTTAATTAAATTCGTGTAGGAAGACGTCATTTTCCAATAAATCTCCAATGAAAAGCTGCAACGAATTATTTGGGTACATTAACAAGCTCTCGTAGACTATGAAATGGCCTCGATCGTGACATTTACAAAAACAAAACAATTGAGGATCATAATGGGCTTCCTTTAATTTCATATATTTAGCTGGGCTTTTGGGCCATAAGTGAGCCGTTAATTTAATTTTATTTGGGCCGTGATCCTCATTGGGCCACAATAAGTGGCGGACAATGCGTGCTCTTGTAAGCCGAAATGAGCCCATAGGCCCATAAACACGATGGGCCATTATTGAGCTTCTACGACATTGAAGGCCAATATTGGGCCTCATAAGCGGCTAGCAAAGCAAGATGGGCACACATTTCTTAGTCAATGGGCCTTTCAGTTGCCGTTAACATTCCGGCATTCAGGATTCCTTTCAATCAGGGCAGGATGATTTTTAATAATTTATGTGATGACAAGGATTAGGCTAGTTCATGATTATCGGTTTATGGTTTACGGGAGATGATTTGTGAACCCTATGTCCTTATGGACAATGGACTCGACCATACGTAGTGGCTTTACGGCCCCACTTCGGCGGACAAACAAATTACAAACCAAAAAACGGAAGCAATACAATAATAATAACTGAGATGCGAGGAAATAAATATATATATATATATATATATATATATATATATATATGTATAATACAAGCAAAAATGATTACTAACCTTCATGGGTTAATAGAGTTTGGGGTGACATCAGCACAGTCGCATGTATGCATTCCCTCCTCATCACCAGATAATTTTCCTCCAAGGCTTTCGTTTAATGGAGTTTGGGT